GGAAAATGTCGGTAGACTGTAATGATAATTCTTGATTTTTCCTTGTTACATTTTTCATTTGTTTATGAATGAGAATTTCACATTAGAATATTGAATAGTATATCAGATTGAAATGTTGAAATTTGAGTGAGTCAGGTTCTTTACATAATTGTATTTTATTTGCATTTTAAATCTTTCAAGTGTAGTGGATAAAACATATCTTCCAGTTCCACATGAGAAAAAGAAAAGATTGGTTAACTTGTCAGATTGGTTATTTGAAATTCAATGTTCCATTCCATCCCAAGTTTTGCTCCAGAAGATAATCAGGGTTGAATTAAATATATCTGAAATATGAGCATGCAATATGAACTGTGTCAAACTGCAACAGATAGCAGTTTTAATACACTGCAAATTTCAATTCCGTAATGTTCTATCCATCTTCAGGATGCTATGGAGTATGCAGAATGTGAAGCTGTTGTTAAAGATTTTCCTCCATTTAGAGAGGCTATGAAGAAAAGGGGTATTGAAGACATGGACCTTGTAATGGTTGATACCTGGTAATTTTAGTTGGGTGTCCATTGTTTATAAATTTCTTCTTACACTATTTAAACTTTTTTTTCATAAATCTGCTGCAGGTGTGTTGGTAATTACAGTGAAGCTGATAGTCCCAGTCGTAGACTTGCTAAGCCACTCATATTTTGCAGAGCAGAGAGTGACAGCCCTATGGAAAATGGGTATGCACGCCCAGTTGAGGGCATCAATGTGCTTGTTGATATGCAAAACATGGTGGTAATTGAGTTTGAAGACCGTAAACTTGTTCCTCTGCCTCCGGTTGATCCCTTGAGGAACTACACACCTGGTGAAACAAGAGGTGGAACTGATAGAAGTGATGTAAAGTCCTTGCAAATTATTCATCCTGAAGGTCCAAGCTTTCGTGTCAGAGGGTCTTATGTTGAATGGCAAAAGGTTGATGTTGAATTGCTTCTTTATTGATTTATATTCAGAAAAGTGAATATAGTAAACATAATGATTAGCTACTGATATTCCTAATGTCCAACTAGTTCTATAACTATCACTTTGTTCTTTTCCTGTTAACAGTGGAACTTTCGTATTGGATTCACACCCAGAGAAGGTTTGGTTATATATTCTATTGCATATGTTGATGGTAGTCGAGGGCGGAGGCCTGTGGCTCATAGACTCAGTTTTGTGGAGATGGTTGTGCCCTATGGAGATCCAAATGAACCACATTACAGGAAGAATGCTTTTGATGCTGGAGAAGATGGCTTGGGAAAAAATGCACATTCTCTCAAGAAGGTTTAATATGTTTTATTTGCTATCTTTATCTCTCTGATTGAGTTTCAGTTGCTCAAGTCAATTTTTGTTACAGGGATGTGATTGTTTGGGCTACATCAAATACTTTGATGCTCATTTCACAAATTTCACTGGTGGAGTTGAGACTATTGAACATTGTGTATGCTTGCAAGAAGAGGACCATGGAATTCTGTGGAAGCATCAAGACTGGAGAACTGGCTTAGCAGAAGTCCGAAGGTCTAGAAGACTTTCAGTTTCTTTTATGTGTACTGTGGCTAATTATGAGTATGGATTTTATTGGTACTTTTATCAGGCAAGTCAAACATCACATCTTTATATGAGATTAATATGCTTAACGTTAATGACATAAAAAATTGATCTGGTTTTTCTTATAGATACTTTCCCAAGTATCACAAATTGATTATCCTCTGAATAATTGTGAGGCAGTTATCAGCCATTTGTACATTGTGACCAGACCCTTATGCCCTGATAGCCGGTTTTCCATTAAGCAAGTTCATCATTATTTACTTAATCTTTCTTCTCTTATCATGAATTAATTGGATAACGTTTTCTTCTTTTTTTGAAATATTCTTGTTAACTGTCTGGAATGGTGCGTCCTTCCAGGATGGAAAAATTGAAGCTGAAGTTAAGCTAACTGGAATTTTAAGCCTAGGAACCCTGTTGCCTGAAGAGTTTCGAAAATATGGAACCATGATTGCACGAAGTCTATATGCTCCAGTTCATCAACACTTTTTTGTAGCTCGCATGGACATGGCTGTGGATTGTAAACCTGGTGATGCTTTAAATCAGGTACATGAGGATTGAACATCGGTAACATTTTGATGACTTCTTTTATCATAACTAAGTGCAACTAAATCAGGTTTATTGATTCTATCAAACGTATTCTTGTTTGTCCTGTTTCTCACTTTCTTAATTTGATAAAGCTGTTTTGTTGTAAAGTTAAATGAGTGTGGCTATTTTAATGTTTTGTTCGTGATTGAACTTGTAATCACTAATCAGAATTCTCCTCTTCTAATTAACTTATATACAACATCTTTACTTCTTTTCCAAGTACTCATTCTTACACTATCAAGATGTTTGGTAGGTTGTGGAGATCAATGCCAAAGTTGAGGAACCCGGGGAGAACAACGTTCACAACAATGCATTTTATGCTGAAGAGACTCTGCTCACATCTGAATTGGAAGCCATGCGTGATTGCAATCCTTTGACTGCTCGACACTGGATTGTACGAATTTCGCTTTTTCTAGGGCCGAAATTTTCCTATTCATGTTAATAATTTAATACTTAAAACTAAATTCTTTTTTTTCTATGGCGAGATCATTGATGATTTCTTTACTATTCACCAACAATTTTGCATGCAGTTATTTCTTAAGAAAGCTGTGTCTCAGAACATAGCTTTTGACTTAATTATTTAAATGACACTGCCACAATGGTACTATTTTTTCAATGATGGTTCAGGTAAGGAACACGAGAACAAGCAATAGAACTGGACAGTTGACAGGCTATAAGCTTGTACCTGGTATAAACTGCTTGCCATTAGCAGGTTCTGAGGCCAAGTTTTTAAGAAGAGCTTCTTTCTTGAGGCATAATCTTTGGGTAACACCATTTTCACACGATGAAATGTTCCCTGGAGGAGAATTTCCTAATCAAAATCCACGTGCCAGCGAAGGACTAGCTACATGGGTTAAGCAGAACAGATCTTTGGAAGAAACTGATATAGTTCTTTGGTCATCTCTCTCTCTCTCTCGCACTGTTTTTATCAGAAAAGAAAAGTCTATTAAGAGATGCAACAGCTCCATGCAATAATAACCTCGAGTGGTTTACATTTCGTAAATTATATATAAAAATTACTTAATTGTTTTGCTAATGAAAAATGTTGCATATTTTCTCTAGAGACTAACTTTGTCAACTTCAGGTATGTATTTGGAATCACACACGTCCCTCGTTTAGAAGACTGGCCAGTTATGCCAGTAGAACGCATCGGATTCATGCTGGTGGTAATTGCATTGTTGATTGTTGTGGTGATGTTTCATCGTTTGTGTCTTAAACTGGGAGTGAATGGCTTTCATTTGTGTGACTTGTTTGTGGGTGCAGCCTCATGGATTCTTCAATTGTTCCCCTGCAGTGGATGTCCCGCCAAGTTCATGTGAATTGGATTCTAAAGATAATAATGATAATGGGCCTTCCAAGCAAATTCAGGGTGGATTTGTGGCAAAACTATAGACACTTGTCCCATGTCATGTCTGCTTCCTTTTCAGTCATCTCTCTTCTCCACTCTAAAGCTTCATCGAGTAGTGCGTGCAAGTGCACATTATCTTTTCCAATATTGGATATTAATCAAGCTAAATCTGTGTTACTTTCTCCTTATAATTCATTTGTATTATGTTAGATGTATTCGAATTCTGAAATAAAATAAAACTTTTATGATAATTAGATATTTTTAGGAAAGCATAATATAAAAAGCTATTTTTTTAATTTTTTAAAAGTATGCTAATAAATATTTTAGGATATTAGTTAAAAGTTGAAAATTTTATAAAAAAGTATTGGTGACATGTTTTTTATAATTTCTTAATCAGTGGTCGTTTTAGAACTGAAATTATTATTAACTTTGAAGGGGTTGTTGATGTAGCAGTGAAGTGACAAGTCTATTGGTTTTTGTCGGCATGGCACGCAGTAGCAAACGTAACGAGTGGGTTATATTAGACGCGGCACCCTGTGATTGGCATCCTCCAGTAAACCATGTTTTCTCTCCACGTCAGATTCCAATCGAAATCTTAATAAGGATCTATTGGCTCTTTTAAAGTAAATATTTTTAGAACAACTAAATTAATAAATAAGAATATATTTAATTTAATTCCGTTTTCATAAAACTTATAAATAAATACAATTGTTTAATCTTTATTTATTTTAATTACGTATGTAAATATAATGTAATTTCTATATTTAATACATTTTAAAATACATTTTTACATGAACAAATATTTTTAATTTGTTATTATATTTCATTTACATAAAAATATAAATTAAAAAGCCTTTAACTTTAACTTAAAAAGTTAAGTTTAAGTAAATAATTATAATAAAATTGTATTAAAAATATTGTTTATATTTTTATAATTTTAATACAATAAATATGTTATTTTTTAATTATTTTATTTTATTTTATTTTTAAATGTTTAAACTTAATCTTAAAGGTTAAAGTTAATAAAATTATGTAAAATAAAATTTTTTTTTATTAGAAAAAAATTAAATCTGTCTTAAAAATAAAATTAATTTATATAATATAAATATTTTTTTAACTAAATATAATGTTTTGTATTTTTCATAAATTATAATACATATTTATCTTTAAATTAATATTTATTTATAAATTAATTTGTATTGTTAAAATTTATATTTTAATTTGTTGACGTGTATTTTTAATGTTTTAATCTATTTTACTTGGCACTAATAATATATTTGTAAATGATAAAATTAATTGATCTTGTGAAATATTTGGTTTGGGTTGGGTTGGGTTGGCATTGGCAGGGATCTGTGAAGATTACAAGAAGCGTGTATTCACTATTTCACTTCAATACTCCATCCTCTGTTCAGTGTTCAGCTTCAAAATATGAACATTAATTAATTTAATAGGAAAATATCCTCTGTACGGACACCGAATGTATGTCTTGATATTTTAATTAATTTTCCTTATCTAATTAATTAATATTAGCGACTTACTATTCTCAGAGTCAATCCGGGGACGGCAAAGAGTCGTGTAGGAAGAAGCAACAAACGACCTTCTTCGATCACCCTTCAACTCAACACTGTTTACAATACTACCACTTTTCTTTGCTTCCTCTTCAATTTTCTCATTTTCACACTATTCAATTCGATTAAAAAGAAAAGAAGAGAAAGACCACTGCTTCAGTTCAGCCTCTCTGCTTCAGTCTACAGATAAGATAACAGACGGAGTAGTCAAAGCGAGAGGAGAGGGTTGGTGTTGACTCCAACCATGAGTAACCCTAACCCCAACCCAGAAGAGGAGAAGAGGCTCCAGGATGAGCTGTTGGGTCCCATCATACTCGGAGAAAGAGTCATAAAACTGGCTGAGGAGGCTGAGTCATCCAAGGGGGACTGCACGGACCTCGCGAAGAAGGTGCAGGTGCTGTGCGACAACCTACGCTCCGTCGTGCGCGTCGTGTCGGGGAGTCAGTGCGTCAACGAGCGCCCCATACGTCGCATCGTCGGCGAGGTCTCCAAAAACCTAGAGCGCACGTTAGCACTCGTTCGCAAATGCAAGAAGCACGGAGGCGTCCTCCGCCAGGTGTTCTCCATGACCACCACTGCCGACTTCCGGAAGGTCTGGAACCTTCTGGAATCTTCGAACGGCGACATGGTGTGGCTCCTCAGCATCTTCGACTCCAAAGGCACCAATCTCTCCCTCCCTCCCATCGCCAGCAACGACCCCATCCTTGCTTGGGTCTGGACCTACACCTACACCCTCCAATTGGGCCAGCCCAAGGACCGCGCCGAAGCCGCCACCGAGCTTGGTTCACTTGCGAAGGACAACGACCGCAACAAGTTCATCATCTTGGATGAAGGTGGGGTGTTGCCGCTCCTCAAGCTTCTCAAGGAAGCTGCTTCTCCCGATGCTCAGGTTGCTGCCGGCAATGCTCTCGTCAACATTGCCACTAATCAAGATAGGGTCGTTAATTTCATAGTGGATTCCCATTCTGTCCCCACCATTGTTCAGGTCCTCGGTGATTCTCCTATGAGGGTTCGTGTTTCTTGCGCCAATTTGGTAGCTGTCATGGCCGAGCAAGACACCCATGCCCGTGAGGAGTTTGTGAGGGCCAATGTGACTAGGCCTCTAGTGTCCTTGTTGTCCATGGATACCGTCCTTGCCGACCCCATGGCAGGCCGTGCCAGCATTCATTCCCTGGTTCTGAATTTGTCCTCCGCAAAGGAGGCCAATTCGGATGGGAGTGGCAGAGGGAGCAACCACCATCGCAGGGAAAGGGAAAAAGAGGTTGAGAGCCTGGAGTTGAGGAATGATGTCAAAGTCAGTTGTGCTAAGGCTCTTTGGAAACTCTCTACGGGGTGTCTTTTAGCTTGCAGGAAGATTACTGAGACTAAAGGTTTGCTTTGTCTCGCAAAGATTATTGAGACTGAGAGTGGGGAATTGCAGTTCAATTGTCTTATGGCTGTTACGGAGATTGCCGCTGTGGCAGAGTCGAATGCTGATCTTAGAAGAGTTGCTTTTAAGAGAACTGCTCCGGCGGCAAAGGCAGTGTTGGATCAGCTTTTGAGAGTGGTTCAGGAAGAGAGCAATGTGGCATTGCAGATTCCTGCCATTAAGGCGATTGGGTCCTTGGCCAGAAACTTCTCTGGAAAGGTTCCACAAGTTCTTGGTCCTTTAGTTGACCAGCTTGGTAACCGAGATGTTGATGTAGCAAGTGAAGCTGCCATTGCTTTGGGGAAGTTTGTTTGCCAGGAAAACTACAACTTTGTTGACCATTCTAAATCAATACTTGAGCTTGATGGAATTCCCAAGTTGATGAGCTTGCTGCAGTTTAATGATCGTCAACAAGTGCATGGCCTAAAATTACTTTGTTACCTTGCCTTAAATGTAGGTGACAGTAAGGTTCTTGAGCAAGCGCGTGCCTTGAGTACTATAGAGAGGTTTGCTCGTCCTGTTTTAGCTCAACATCCTGATATGAAAGATCTCTTGGCAAAGGCCATACACCACCTCACTCTTTATCAGCCAGGAGCTCAATTGCACAGACAGCCCTTGGGGCTGTAAGAGCAAGAGCCACTGATTTCGTTAATCAAAATAATGATTCTTGTAAGTCTTTCCAATAGAGTGTATTGTACATAGAAAATGATTTATTACATTGTGAAAATGTCAAAATTGTAATTTAACTGCCACTTTTATTTGTTTGTGGTATTGACTGAATGATCATTCATTCCAATTACACATAAGGCTGGTTGACGCAAAAGATGATTAGATTTACAACTATGCATCGAGAAATGTTGTACATGCTATAACTTACATTATATTTAATGGCATTAGCAACATTTCATTTCCTTGTGATTTCTTGCTCTGCCTTTTTTTTCCTCTCCCTATAAGTAACACTAATAGTTTGATTTCTGTTTTGTAGACTTTTGTCTTGTGTTTTACTTGGTGTTTTTCAATATATACATGTGTAAGGCCATAGTTACTACTAGTTATGTGAATGCTACTCATGTATATTAAAGTACGACATAGGCATTCCCTTTAATACATAATAAATAAATAAATGAGATAAAAGCTGAGTCAAGAGCTGTTGACACCTGTTGTTAAACTTACACACTTACATCACTAAATAACTTTTGATAGAATGTAAGATTAAGCAATTCAATTGTTGGTTTGAAGGTTCTTATTAAGTATATCAATTTTATTAAATTTCATACAAAAACACAATTAAATAGATACTTCATCACATTATTTTATTTTAATGGATAATAAATTTTTAAAATATTAGTAAATGTTTAAATTATATAAAATTTTATATACATGATCAAGAAGATAATATAAGATGATTTAATATTTAAATTAATTAATTTCACGTTTTGCAAAATGTTATTAAATAGTGTAAGTATGCAAGTTTGACACTTAGTGTCAATAGATCTTGACTCGATAAAGCCTTGCATTATGCCTATATACATGACAACATATTCTATGCATTTTTCCCTCTGAATTTATGCTTAAAAAAGTAATATCCTTAAAGCATTTTTTTCCAAAGTTGAGAAAAACCCACCCTTAGTATTATGGCTCTATTTGATGATGCTTGTATGCATCTACATTAATTTCATTATACTAATTTATTTGGCAAAACCGTTTGTCTGAAGTTAAAAAATGATTAGATTCATGCCTTTATCTGCTTACCCTGGGAAAAAAATTGTTATTCAATGTGTGGATATCAATGTACTTAATTTTTTTAATTGCAATTCATTTATATTGACAAATTTTATCACTTAAATGTCCCAATTGCTCAGGGTTTCCTTCTAGAGATCTAAATCCCGTCCGGAATTATGTGAATAAGCAGAAGTCATGTATTCCTCAGACATAACGGCTTCTGCAATCAAATTTGGAAGAGAAGAGAAGACTAGATTTCATATTTGTTCGCTGGTTATTAAATGAAGGGAGGAGGGGTATAAATATTTTGCATTGTTTGGTGGGAGCATATCAGGAGCTTGTACAATATGTTGATAATGTAAGTTGGCCTAAGGATCTCTTCGGATGTACTTCAAGAGGCAATCTAATGTTTGAGAAGTAAGGATAATGGCGACCATAATTTTGATCCAAATTTATCCTGGTAGCTATATCTGTGGAGTTTCTTGTTATTAATTACTATATAAACCTAAATAATATGAAATGTAAAGTTTGTACAAACTTGTCAGGGATTAGATAGTGTCTCCAAGGTTTGCAGCTTGCGCTCTGGACTAGGTAATATATGGACAAATATGTTGTTTTAAACAGTTAGCATGAATATCTTGCATTGTTTTCTGGAAGCATAATATCAGCTTGTACATCACTGAGGATATCTTGGGATGTTCTTTTAGAGGCAATCCAGTGTTTGAGAAATAGAGTGTGGTGGGAGAAATTGGCTTACTAGATATTAATTCAGGAATGATGTATAAATTCTTAAGAATTTCTTGGCATTATGAACTGCATAAATCTACTTAATGGACTGTCTGAAGCTTGTACAAAATTGTCATGGATTAAAAGTGTCTCCAAAGCTTCAACTGTCGTTCTGGATAGGAAGGTGAATATTTGGGCCAACTATGTCGTTTAAAGCCATGGACGTGATGTTTTAGAGTAATTTATTCTCACTCGGGCTACATTTTTTCAATATTATTCTGATTGTTCTTCATTTAGCTTTGCATAGCATATACTGAAAAAGAATTAAGTAAAATGTCATTGACCAAGTTGTGAACAGGGAATGGACTTGCCGGTGGCTTAGTCTTCAGCAAGGTATCGTGCATTTCTGTTTTCTGCTGTTAAGTCGCGGTATTTCTATCTCGGAGATACTTGAGAGTTGTGATAAGGCCTGGATGATACTAACCTTCTCAAATTAGTGTGATAACTTCGTTAGACCTAATCTGTTAGTTGTTATTAAATGTCATCCCCGGAATCGGATTTTGTTGTTGGTTGTAACATTGTAATCAGACGGATAAGTTTATGACAGCAGGGTAGACCACCCTGAATTCCCATTTGCTTCGATATTCTAAATATAAGTGTGTTGTTGCACAGGCCCTGTCACTGGTTTTCAGAATAAAATTTACTACGCCCTTCCTTGAGTCTAACAAATTGCAATACAAGTCATTTTCCTGGGGTAAGCACAAGCACGTGACCTTCAATTTTTAGTTGCTAGATTACGTTTCTAATGCCATCAATTTCTGATTACACATCGTTATGTATTTTAATGCTCAAAAAGTAGACACTTGGTTCGATGGTCTTCCCCCAAATATAGATGAGCCAAGAGTCTATCCCCATTTCCCCCCAAACCTTCTGATGGAAAATTGAGCTGCTTTTTCCTATGGTAAATAAATAAGTATATTTAAAACCAATTTTAATAATGATCTTTTCACCCACGCTGAACTTTCATTTAGGAATCACTTTTCCTTATCTAATGATACGGATCAATTGTCACTTACGTACAAAGAATGATAATGTATGGATGAGTAAGATGGCCATGTTGTATGTTTTGTCAATTGCCAATATTTTGGGATGGCATTTTGTACAGCTAACAACTGCATCCTCAAAAAAACACACGAGAAATCATGCCATTGAATGTTGGCAACAACACCTTTTTTATTTTTTATTTTTTCAATGACTACGAGGAGGTTTGTACCTGTAATTTCTTGCAAGTTACTGCAAACTTTTTTCTCCTGGCCTATTCCTAGTGACTTGTGCTGAGAGTAACTTGAGTTAGAAGGGAATTCGAGTTTCAGTTAACTTTGTTAAACCAAGTAATTCATTAGGATGTGCGATGAAACTAGAAAGTCACACCTCAATACTCGTATATGCAATAGAAGACGCTCAGTGAACACGTAACTAGAAGTTTCGTGGTTTGAGTGAAGAAAGCGCAATCAGTGAAAAACACATTTCCATGGATGTCAACTGGCAGCTTATCTTTTTGATGAGTAGCTATTATTAAGACGTTCAATTTAAGGAATGCTTTATGTACTTTTAAGTTTGTTCGCTTTCTCGTTAGCCTCGAAATTAAAAAGAAATAGGAAAAAAGCAGTCTGTTTCCTTTGTGGTGTTAAGGTCATAATCACTTTTAAGCCATGAAGCCGAATTCATTCGGTAAAAGTACTCTATTTTGCAATTTTTACCTTGTTAAAGACTCGCCAAATGTCAAACATAATTGTTTCTAGATATTTTGCAATCATGCTAAGAAGTATGTTTCTTTTATCTAACATCATTACAACATATCATCGATTCTTCTAACTTAGTGCTTGTAATTATGTTAGCAAGGTCTTTCGGGCTAAAATTCATCATTCCCAATGACAGTTAAAGTTTATTTTTGACATTGTTTTCCATTCTCATGGCCATGGTCCATCTATTCCTCTAGAAGCATAAGCTCTCTGGTTAAGTTCAACGCTTCACTCATGCATTCGATTTAAAGCCCAGACATCATGCATCATTGGGTTCTACCTAACTTCATTTTTATTCGATTTCTCAAGTTCTTTACTTTAGTGCCATTGCCAATCGCATAAGAAATCAATTGTTAGCTATCATATCATTTCAAACTCAACGTGTAAATTGAGCTTAGCTTATAGAAGCTAAATATTTCACGGGCCCAATTAGTTTAATTCAAGATTATACACACTTTTGACATCCGTGATTGTGTAATATTATTTATTCAACTTCAAGGTTTAAAGTAATAGATTACCTTTTTTACTACTTAGATGGTTGGAACACGTGAAAATTTAATTTACGATTAAAATTGAGGTTTAAAACTTTATGATGTATAAAGAAAAAAAAAAATAAAAAATAAAAAATAAAATATATATATATATATATATATATATATATATATATATATATATATTTGACTAACATCATAACTTGTTGGAATATATTTTTCCCCTTTTAAGCGTGAGACAGCATCTTGTCGGTGTCCCTTTATCATGTAGTTGAGAATTTGCTAAGTTCAAAGGCTATTATGCGGCCAAAGCATCTCAATATCACTTGTCGGATGCACCGTTAGTTGACCCGAAAAAGGCTACAACATTCCTTAGTATTTCACTTCAACAGTCTTTAATATTTCTCCTCTTTTTCCCACGTTGTCTTCTTTAATTACACTTTTTTAACTTCTATGACGAATGCAAATGGAGCCCGAACTCCTCAGGAAGCTACTAGCTAGTAGCTGCGTCGGCACACGTAATTCTTCTCACAAATGGTAATAAGGGTCATTAAGATTTTAATTCAGAAAATGAAAGCAGTTAACTAAAAAATATATATTATTTTAAAAATACAAAAATCAATTTAAAATGTTTGATAAAATGTAAATGATCCTTAACTAATATTTTATGAACACACGTTATAGCATTAGCAAGAACTTCTCTTTTATCTTTATTGGCATGAACTAATTAAGAGCCTTGTTAACTTTTTTTTCATTTTTCACCAAATCCAAAGAGAAAAGGTTTCACACACTTAATAATAAAGGTTTTACAATGGTTGGTTCAATCATTGCATTTAACCTGCTTTTCATAGCAATTTTATTGCCTCCGATTTTGCTGAGAACCTTAATGACTTTTGACCACAGACACGTATAACTGCCTCCAAAATCAGAACCTCTTTGATAATTACTGAGAATTGGCGGCAGGACCTTTCGTAATTTGCGTATAATATGAGTACATGCTAGCTGTGGCTTAATTATGTATCTTTTTGTCAATGTCTATCATAATTTCAAGCTTAAGATCAATTACATGAACAGCCATACATGATAAATCAGCAAGCGTCATCTTAGCCTTAAAACTTGAAGTTAATTAATTTATGATGTGGTTATGTACTGTCCCTCTCATGCTTTTATGATATGGTTATGCCTCAGTTCACAGCTGTTCTAAGTGAAGTAGTAGTGTCTTTCACCGTCTTAATCTGGTATATGGCAAAGTAACAACCTAGGGTAGGACCATTTTTTGTGGTCCGGCTCGTAGTTACTACACACTTTTGTATGCTCGCTAAGTCAACATTAGCTCTAAAATACATGCACTGGGTCCAAATTATTAGTAACATCATCTATGATTTCTCATCCGATCATCCCCATCACCAAGGTTTTCTCAATCTAGAGGACCTATTGACTTTTGTGAATGGGTTTGCGTGAGAATTGAGAGCACCTTTATCCTGATTTATGACTCACTAATGGCTTGTGCTATGTCTAATGCATGTGTGGTTGTAACAAGTACTAGAGTAGGTGGTGTATGTCATTGTGTGGGTTCTCTTCTCTCATTTGCTTTGATTGGCTTTCTTTTTCATAATTAAAAATCGAGAGCATGTATATATAAACAACAGAACGAAACAGATAGGCATATTAAGCTGCTATAAATTGTACAATTACGTCTTGTGTGTTTAAAAGCATAATTTTTTGAAACTGCCAGAACCCAGAAGAGCCAAGATTATATATGTATAAATAAAAATATCTATAGCCAGTAATCACCATGCAAGTTGTGGTCATAAGGCATGAATTGGTTCCGCCGGTGACTACTATATTGGGCCTTGAAACAGCATGTAGTGGCAGCAAATTAAAGATGATTTTAAAGATGGCTTAAATTTGAACATCTGTTTGGAACCGTAAACATTACACACAACAAGAGGACCCTAGCTTTAGACTTTAATAATGATAATAATCCATAAAATATCTCTCTCCAATAATGCAAATTTTGGGCAGCCAATTTTAGCCTTTTGGAGGGATTCACCAAATACATGGTGCTATCATATGCCAGCAAAAGCAGCATCCCTCATTATACGATTCGACAGGATAATCTTCTTATTCAAACTCTGCCAGCGCTGGTATATCTCTACCAAAGCCCACTATATACATGATGTATATTGAGAAACACACGAGCGTGTGTTCCTATGTGTGATATATAATATAATATTGGAAGGATCAAGGAAAAAGAAATAGAATTCGTAATTTGCTGCAGTGTATGGGTGTTTGTCTTTTTTATCATATTTGAGTCTTTGACTAGCTGTTCTAGGGGACAGCTAAAGGAAGCATGACAAGGACAAAGAGGGAAGAAAAATGAAAAGGATAATACATATATGCATCATAAGTGCATGTAATAATTCACTAGTGGGACAATAAGGAAATATTTTACGGTCATAAAAGAAAATTACACTCAATACTCTTCAGGAATATATCGTTATTCAAACTTTGGATGATGAAAACATACATCATTAGGAAAAATAAATGCGGGGGAGGGGGAATCATCTCAAATCTTTCGCTAGAAATCTCCTATACTATCAACATATTTCTATCTTTGCTAACTCGTTTCAACATGAAAAAGAGTTAAAAAAAAAAAACAAAAGAAAATAAAAAAAGAAAGAAAGAAAGAATTTACAGTTCAGATATGCTGGAATACATCAAAATTTGCTCCTGTTAGATCTTCAGTAAGTGATGATAGTGGAAAGCTAGTGAAATCTATGGAGTTGTGAGTCTGCAGCTGCGCTTCTTCCCATGAACTTGTCTTAAAATCCTCAGATTTTACGGCATTTACTTGGAACTGAAACAAGGGGTCAAACTTGTTCTCACCGTCCCAAGAGAACCCTGCATTCTCCATCATGCTTCTCATATCACACCCTCCTCCTGGATAAATAGTACTCATGTTTGAGCTGTTGCTGGAACTCTCTTTCACCTGATCATTCATGAACAATGAACTGATTTTGGAGGCTGAATTATTGTCTGAAAACTCAGTCACCGACAAGTTTCCATGATCAGAATTGGTTAGACTTGGCATTGAAGAGAATCCAAAGCTTGAATTGGTTCCAAACTGGCCCTGATCACATGCTCTAAGGCTTGTGTGATAATGACTCACAGGTAAGTTAAAACCTGACTGTGTAACGCCCATTGGGAAATCATAGTAGGACAAAGGGTCCAATGCTGGCTTGCTCATGAAAATTTCTCTTGAAGCTTCTGTTAGCCCTCCATCATAGTAATTGGAATCGCTTATTAGAAGTCCTGATCCCTGTGATGATGCAAAGGTTGATGTAGCCGAAGGCCCTTGAGACAATGGCGTTTGCATAGAAGTTGTCTCTGTGCTTTTCTTTTCTTCCTTTACATGAGCTTCAGTAAGAGGCTTGTGGGTAGTTGGGTCAATCCCTTGCTTCAGAAGCTTCTTCTTTAAACATGAATTCCAAAAGTTTTTAATCTCATTATCTGTTCTCCCTGGTAACTGTGCTGCTATTTGAGCCCACCTGATATTGAAAAGAAAATCATTTCACAATTGTCAATTTTCTTTGTATGTACCAAAACAAAAGGAATTTATTTTATATATTATATTCATATATCTTGATCACCCTTCAATAAATGTTGTTACCTATTTCCAAGCACTTCATGAAGACTGATTATAAGATCCTCCTCCTGCTGAGAGAACAACCCTCTCTTTAAATCAGGCCTAAGATAGTTTATCCATCTCAATCTGCAACTCTTTCCACATCTTTGCAATCCTGCAATTCATGAAAAGAGTTAGGCTCTTCCCAACGTTTTTCAGTTGAAGTAATGAAACATGTAACTTGTTGTTACCAGCTAGTTTGGGAACTGAACTCCAGCATCCAACTCCAAATCTTGTTATGTAATTGAATAGCTTCTCATCTTCTTCAGGGGACCATAAGCCTTTCCTCAATTTTTGCTTTACACAACAGGAATGGCGACCCATTTGTGCGAGGACAGTGGGAATGCCAATGTTACTTAATTTTGGAGGAAGACTATGAAGTGTGAAGTGGTCACTGCCTCTATATAGTGTGAAATATTACCCCAATGCTTGTGTCATTTAAACGTTTCAAGAGGTAGAAATATTGTTATGTTGTGGGGTGAAGAGGGAGTAACTCAAAAACTAATTGTGTTCATTTAAAGAGAGGAGGGCTAAATCATAAATCATACTTAGGATTGAAGTTAAGAGAGAGAACCCTGAGGAAGGTGCAGCAATCAAGTGGGTTTTACGCAAATCCGGTGCTGCTTTTGCATTGCAATGGATTGGTTTTTAAGATATCCATATTTCTAGAAAATTGTAAATAAATAAACAAATTAACGGGAGTGACTCTATAAACATGTACTGTACCAGTTAAGCTTCTTGTTTTTATTAATTGTCAATTAAATGCTAACTGCTAACTCTGTTTTCTTTCTGATTGCGTCTGAAATATTACCACATATAGTAAATGATAATCATGTACATATTCTGCATGTTAAATTTCGACCCTTTTGGCTTTTTATTAGATTAATTAATATGGATCAGTCATCATCTCGTAACATATAGTTGATCTTTAATTAGTTTTACCCTTCACAATATGACCTCATCCCTGCATGTCATTTGAGAAGGTTACGTCTTATTATTATTTATTAAAATTAAAGATGTACGGAGGTTTAAGGAACTTATATTTGTCGGGCCATTAGTTTTGGAGAACTGTTCAGAGATGTACATAAATCTTACCTGTAATTTTTTTCATTATTATTAAAAAGTCTGCATTAACAATAAATCATAAATAATTTTAAAAAACAGCTCAAAATAGTAATACGACAAGAAAAAAGAGAGAATTTTTCTTCGCTTGCCCTGCCAGCTACTTTTACGCAGAGCAAATTGCCATAAACAAGTATCTTGGATATGTAAAAATAATGAAAACAAAAACTCTTTTCTGTATAATTTCTTTATATTTGTTGGCCATAGCTGTTTTAAGTTTTCTGTGAATGTTAAGAATACTATAAAATCAGCCGACAGTAGTACATGGAAGGATGTGTGGGGCTCCGAGGACATTTTAACTCTAAATTAAAAAAAGACTCAAGCGGTACTTATTATCGATAGAGTATATTTTTAAATTTTGTAAATATAATTCAATTTAATTTGTTCTTCATAAATTTTATAATTTTAAAAGTTATTTTTTAATATTTATTTACTCATTATATAACATAATTTAAGATGTATCATCTTAGAATAATTATATATTGATGTGACATAATTAAGGGTATGTTTGAATATATAGTTTAATTAAGTGCTAATTAATAATTTTTTAAAATAATAAACTTAAATGGATTTTAAATCCATGTTACTAATATGCATGATTAAATGCATTAATGTATATTATATACTATCATAAAATTTAAAATAAAATTTAATGATGATTATAGAATTAAGAAATATATATTTAGATTTATTTATATATTAAAGTAAACCTATCCAATTTCAACCCTCGTTTCGTCCCTTCATATGTGTCCAAATAACTTTTCTATCTTGCCACTTTACCATTTTCTGCAATTGCCAAAGTGACCTCTTTTCTCAGCGAGTTTGGCCATTCATGGCAATTATATTTATAGATAAGTTCTTCTCGAAGCAATAATAGATCATGTGTGACGACAATGCTGCCTAGCACAAAATATTTGTTAATATGCGTTTTACTCACCATTTTATCTTATAATACAAGTTGTTGATCATTCAATTTTTAAATAAAGGCACATTATCTTGCAGAGAAGATTTTTGTCGCTATGCATGTAACAAACCCTAAGCAATGAGTTGAACATTTTCCCTTTGAAAATTAGCCTTGACGATTGACATGGATAATAAGAAAAGATTCTTGTCAATGTCAAAATGTCTAAACCTTAACTAGCACGGTAAAAAATTGATTATTTATATTTGACAAAAATTGTTCAGATTACTTTTGTTTCCTAATTATATTTACAGTGGCCTCAGAAAAGGGAAGATAAGTTTAACTACCAAACATAAGCATACAATTGATAATTTGGATAATAATAACGTAATTACAAGATATTAACATTAAGTAATGATATGCATACAAACTTTTTCCTTCGTTTATTTTAAAAAAATAATCTCCACATTTTTTCCATCTCCAACATATGCTTTTTTTGTTAGGAAAAGTTCATACAACCCTTTTTTCTTAATATCTTTTAATAAAAATTATAATGATTTGAAGTTACGTATATTAAGTTATTTATTTTAATTGTCCGAACAATGTTGTAACAGTTATTGCTATAGTTGTCTAAATCATTTTATAATTCCCGAGTTTATGTAATATAATTTGAATACTTTATTCGCAGTGAAAATAAAAGAGCAAAATTTTGCAACTATCCTTGCATGGTTTGCGTTACATCAGCAAGTTTTGTAAAGTCAACCCAAAAGACGAAGGGAAAGAGAAAGCATAGCCAGTAAACTCAAGTCCCATAGTATTGACCGTAGAATTGATATATTTAACAATGTAGTTAAAATATGATGAAACGATATGTAATTTTATTTTATTTTATTGGGAATTTTTAAAAAGTAATAGCAATGGCTAGTTAATTCAACTGAATTTTAATTACTTTAATCGGTTTAAATATGCCTTTCAATTATAATTAGACGGTACAATAATCAATTAAGCATCCTTATTACAATCCAATCATCCCATCCGATTCCATCGAAGCAAGACAACACCGATACTCAAGCACTTAGCAAGAGGTCCAATAAAAGATCGTATTAAATGATTTATTGTTCTTATTTAATCATATTTACAATAATGTGTTTGACGTAAACATCATATAGTTAGTGTGAATGAATGTGATACATGTGTTCATAAAGCTCACTATTGTTTAATTATAAGGAAGTTATGTATTTTCCATCACAAGTTATATGGAATCGCGAACACATTGACCAGTGTGCTATTAAGTCATTTTCTAAAGATTTGAAACAAAATATGTGAACCCGCGTGGAAAACACCAATTTTAACAATTTGAGAGCAATACGTGACTGTTATAGTTTACTCTTTCTACTATTTGTATGAAGAAAAACATAAATATATATTTCTATATCTTCATCATAATTTTACTACTATTATTTTAAAAATATCATTATTGATTTATTTTTTTATTGAAGATCAACTGCATAAAAATGATATGCAAAATTTTGATTTACAATTACAATTTTCTGCAAGGTTTATTTAGAGTACAAATATAGAGTTATAGATATTTCGAGAAGTTCGGTTTAGTGAAAAATATATTATAGAAACGTTAGTATTGGGCGATTATGCGGATAGCTGCTAGTTTTAATTTTTTTTAAAATGTAATTTTTAAATGTGAAACATATTAGAATTACTAAAACATACATTATTGTCATTGTGACTGGCACTATTCGTTAGTCAGTATCACTGTCACTAATATAACTATAGAATGAGATCTTAAATTTTTTTAGAGATGAATAAAAAAACAAAATTAACGTTATATAAGTCTTTCAAAAATATATATATCAACCTACCCTCTATTATTGTCTAAATTTTATTAAAAATTACAAGAATGATTACTACTCTTTTTCATTTTAAATTAAAATATTATTAAAAAAAAACATTTACGAGTCTATGGTGACTGAGAATTGTTCAATCCGTTCATCACGGCAATGGAGAGAAAAGACATTTTTTTATTTATAGAAGACTGTAGCAAGGAAAAGGCAGGGGAATGAGGGTAAAAAGAGGGTAAGCTTTCTGCTCTCAGTCTATTTTCACAACTAGAGAGGAAAAAAAAGGGTACAATACATGATAAGTTTTCATTTTTCTCTTTATTTAATTCGATAATGAACAAACTCACGAATTCATGATTTTTTCTCTCTATCACTTTTTTCTTCTGATTTTCCACCAAAACCCATGAATGAACTCTCTCAGGTGAATTTCAATGATTGGAGGCTGTTTCATAAACGTTTCCATCCATCACCATGACCGACACCTATGTTCACAGTGTCAAAAAATATTATTAGTTTAGACAACGAGACATTAGAAATTTGGCAAAATTACTATCTCTAAATCGAGACAATATATATAATAAAAAATTAAATATTATATCTAAAGTTATTTATATTATAAAATATTTTTAATTTAAATTATAGTAGATATTTTTTATTTTACGCATATTTTTACTATAAAATAGTTAAATTTAAATTTGAGATATTCAAAAATAAAGATGATATAATACAAAAATAAATAAATATCGAGACTTGAAATTACAACAAAATTTTTTAAATATTTTTAATAATTATATATTATTTTTAATTAAATAAATTATAATTTTCATAATTTGATTTTAAATGTATATGAATATTATTTATTTTAAAATATATATTATAAAATATATCTTAGTTTTAATGTATGCTTTTCTAATTAATAATGTAGTTTATCTGTACATATATAAATTGATTTATTATGTCAATAAATTGGACTGATATGCTCTTATCTCTTATATTGTTTAAATCTCAATTCGAATAAAAAGAGTTTGATTAAAATTCTTTGTCAAATAAGGATAAAAATAAATTCATCTCAACCCATTTCAAGAATATCTCTAAACAATACTTCCACTTCTATTTAAATAACCTAAATTATAGAGATTTGAATTCTTTCTCTTTGTATCAGAAACTGGATATTTAATTACATTTTTCTTAAGAGAAAATATAAAAAACAACAAAAAAATTTATAGATTTGCTTAAGCGAATTTTGTGTCTTCTCTCTTAATCTTCTCTTCATGCTTAATACTTTATTTTTAATATTTATATTCAACTTTCTTCCTTGTCTCATGCTTAATTCTTCTCTTCCTCTCCTAACTCTCTCTTCCTTTCATCCTATGTCTAACTCTTTTCTTCTTTTTTCTACTCTCACTTTAACCCATACTTATATCTCCCTCTTTCTTCCATATTTA